CTAACTGTATATAAAGGGCATTGGAAAATGATTGGGTTGGAAAATGATTCTGAAACGAATCTCCTGGAGTCAGTGACATTGTGCTATCAGTGCACGGATGACTCCCCATTGTGCTATAAGTGCACGAATTACTCCCCATTGTGCTATGAGTGCATGAATGACTCCCCATTGTGCTATCAGTACACAAATGACTTCCCATTGTGCTATGAGTGCACAAATGACTCCCCATTGTGCTGTGACTGCATGAATGACTCCCCATTGTGCTGTAAGTGCATGAATGACTCCCCATTGTTCTATCAGTACACAAATGACTGCCCATTGTGCTATGAGTGCACAAATGACTCCCCATTGTGCTATCAGTACACAAATGACTCCCCATTGTGCTATGAGTGCATGAATGACTCCCCATTGTGCTATCAGTACACAAATGACTCCCCATTGTGCTATTAGTGCACAAATGACTCCCTATTGTGCTATCAGTACACAAATGACTCCCCATTGTGCTATGAGTACACAAATGACTTCCCATTGTGCTATCAGTGCACGAATGACTCCCCATTGTGCTATGGGTGCACAAATTACTCCCCATTGTGCTATGAGTGCATGAATGACTCCCCATTGTGCTATCAGTACACAAATGACTTCCCATTGTGCTATCAGTGCACGAATGACTCCCCATTGTGCTATGGGTGCACAAATTACTCCCCATTGTGCTATGAGTGCATGAATGACTCCCCATTGTGCTATCAGTACACAAATGACTCCCCATTGTGCTATGAGTGCATGAATGACTCCCCATTGTGCTGTGAGTGCATGAATGACTCCCCATTGTGCTATCAGTACACAAATGACTCCCCATTGAGCTATGAGTGCATGAATGACTCCCCATTGTTCTATCAGTACACAAATGACTCCCCATTGTGCTATGAGTACACAAATGACTTCCCATTGTGCTATGAGTGCATGAATGACACCCCATTGTTCTATGAGTGCACAAATTACTCCCCATTGTTCTATGAGTGCACAAATTACTCCCCATTGTGCTATGAGTGCATGAATGACTCCCCATTGTGCTATCAGTACACAAATGACTCCCCATTGTGCTATGAGTGCATGAATGACTCCCCATTGTGCTGTGAGTGCATGAATGACTGCCCATTGTGCTATCAGTACACAAATGACTCCCCATTGAGCTATGAGTGCATGAATGACTCCCCATTGTGCTGTGAGTGCATGAATGACTCCCCATTGTTCTATTAGTGCATGAATGACTCCCCATTGTGCTATGAGTGCATGAATGACTCCCCATTGTTCTATAAGTACACAAATGACTCCCCATTGTGCTATGAGTGCATGAATGACTCCCCATTGTGCTATCAGTACACAAATGACTTCCCATTGTGCTATCAGTGCATGAATGATTCCCCATTGTGCTATGAGTGCACAAATTACTCCCCATTGTGCTATGAGTGCATGAATGACTCCCCATTGTGCTATCAGTACACAAATGACTCCCCATTGTGCTATGAGTGCATGAATGACTCCCCATTGTGCTGTGAGTGCATGAATGATTCCCCATTGTTCTATCAGTACACAAATGACTGCCCATTGTGCTATGAGTGCACGAATGACTCCCCATTGTGCTATGAGTGCATGAATGACTCTCCATTGTGCTATCAGTGCACAAATGACTCCCCAATGTGCTATTAGTACACAAATGACTCCCCATTGTGCTATGAGTGCATGAATGACTTCCCATTGTGCTATCAGTGCATGAATGACTGTCATACCTCGGTATGACGCGTGGCACATGCAGCTTCCAGGAGGTGCAGCGCAGCAACCCCAAAGTATCTGGTGACGCGCCGTCCCAGCCACAGTAAACACCATGCAGTGTTTGGTTGCTCCTCGTGCAGAGCAGCTCCTGCATGATCTTTCTTCTGGCAAGGCTTTCTGATCTTTTTGGTAGCCTTGGACCCTGTAGGTGCAGGCTTTTTATAGCATTAAAGTGACAGGACAGATTATTAGGACACACCCCCTTTGTGTGATTTGGTGCAGGGTGATAAGAAATAATGAAACTCCAAGAGATAGATTCTATCCAAAATACAGAGATAACAGATCGTACAATCACAAACATAGAAATTATTATGACCAACGCCCATATAGAAATAGGAATAATTCTAATCCTAGATTCCAGCACCTACAATACAGAAACAAACATTATAATGATATAAGACATTACGGAAGGGAAAGATATGAAAGGAGACCTAGGTATGAAAAAGAAATACTCAAAGATTATACCTATTATGGAAAAACAACAAAAGAAAAGACACCATTCAATAGACCCAACTAGTATAGAATAGAGGAACCATTAGAAGTTAGGAATAGATTCCAAGTGTTAGATGAATTTGAGGACCAGGAATTTTGGAGGAGCAAGGGCAGGGACAGACACAAGAGAGAAGAATGTCCAGATATGACCACACCATACAAAAGACAAAGAAATTCGAGTATAGAGGTACAAGAGGAGGAACACATGTCAAAAAAAGAAAGACGGGAGAGACTACAGAGGAACTAAGCCCCATAAAAGGAATTTATAATTTAAGTCAAAAGAGTTTAACAGAACATCATAAAAAAGTACTAATGAAAGGATTGAAATTTGCGCCTAACAAACCACTTAGCCAATTTGATTTTTATATAGACCTTAATAAATGTAAAAGAAATATGTGCCTAAAAAAGTACTTTGCTAAAAACCCCATAGAACTTCAATTAAATAATGAGAAAGAACTCAAATATACCAATCTAAAAGAAAAATCACAGTTCTATCCAAAACATATGATTTCAGAAAAAATGGTGACATTTGAAACCATGGTAATGACAGAAATTAAAAAATTTGAAAAAAAGAACTTTTTAATCATAATTTAACAATACAAGAAAGAAAAGCGCTAAAAGATTTAAAAACAGATCCAGATCTAGCAATAAAACCAGCGGACAAAGGGGGAGGGGTTGTTTTAATGTCTAAAGACTTTTACTGTAAAGAAGCAGAAAGAATTTTAAAAGACGAATCCACTTATAGAAAATTAAAAATTATAACCGAGGAAACGATATGAACCAAGTTTTCCCCAAATTTTTTTAAAAGAGGGATAGATTTAAATATATTAAATGAAAAAGAATACAACTTTTTAAACATTAAATATCCGAAAACACCAGTCTTTTATTTCCTTCCAAAGGCCCATAAAGATACTTATAACCCCCCGGGATGACCGATAGTGGCAGGGATTGACTCTATATCTAGTAGATTGTCCCATTATGTAGATATCCACCTACAACCGTTAGTTAAAAACACTACCTCATATATCAAAGATACAATCATGGTTTTAAATCTTTTAGAGGAATGCACCTGGAATACCAACTGTTTTTTAGTCACTAGTGACGTAACAGCTCTTTATAGCAACATCCCCCACCAACATGGATGTAATGCAGTCAAATATTTTTTAGACAATTTCTCAGATTTTACAAATATTAAAATAAAGTATATTTTGGAAGGAATAGAATTAATTTTAACAAATAACTTCTTCTGGTACGGAGAGGAATTCTAGCTTCAAATCAATGGAACGGCCATGGGGACCAAGTTTGCCCCCAGCTATGCAAATCTATTCATGGCCCATTGGGAGAATACTTATATCTATGGCCCAGATGGCTGGCGGAGGAGCTTGGTCACCTATGGCCGTTACATTGATGATATTTTCTTCATTTGGAAGGGAGAGGAAGATGATCTCATTCAATTTTTAGACTATCTTAATGAAAATACCTGGGGGATTAAACTTACTAGCAATTGGAGTGGAACTGAAGTGATTTTCCTGGACCTACATATATACATTGAAGAGAATAAGATCAAAACGAAAAATTATGTTAAGACAGTAGAAGCTAACAGCTACATAGGGAGAGAGAGCTGCCATTTCTCACCGTGGCTCGAGAACCCCCCTAGAGGTCAATTCTTACGTATCCATCGTAATTGCACTGACTTAACTACTTTTGAAACTGAATCCGATAAAATCAAACAAGATTTTCTGGATAAAGGATATGAGGAACATAAATTGGAAAAAGCCAGAGAAGAAGTGAGGACTATAGAAAGAACGAACTTCCTAAAATATAAAGAGAAAAAGGAATGTACATCTACAGAAATTGATTTCAGTACAGACAATTATAAAGTTTCCCAGTTCTGGACCATTTTACTACAAGATCCTATTGCTAAAACTTTCCTTCCAGAAAAACCAAGATTTATACATAGAGGGGTGAATTATCTTTGTGACACTCTAACTTTGAGTTTCATAAAAGAAAAGAGAACTGTTAACACTTTTTTAAATTCAGAGAAAGGATTCTTTGGTTGTGGCCAATGTTTAGCGTGTAAAAGAACTAACAATAAAAAAAGACATATAAAACACTTCACTAACAAAGATGGAACAGAATATCAAATTAAAGATTTTCTAAGTTGCCACTCAAAAAACCTTATCCATCTTATCCTATGCTATATAAGCAAAACCACTAGACCTTTACATATTAGAATTCAAGAACATAGACGTAATATTCTGAAAAGGTTTAGAAAAATACAGTGTTTCATTACATTATAAAATCGCCCATAATTGTGATACTAACAGTTTGGTTCAAAACAAATCTCCCAGTCTACCAATATCTTAAAATACCAGACCCATGGGGTCATTTAGAGACCAACAGACACACCAACATTGAGTGCCAATGCAATACATACCGGGTTTATAATGACTTTAGAGGAACATGCAGGATTATAAAAAAGGGTGCTCAGGATCTAATGTGTTATTTAATTTCAAGATCTAGTTTGATAAATAGGGATAATACACCAAACATGTAGGAAAAGCACCGTAATGAAGAGCTGGTTCTGACTATACATGGTTTGAACAGATTGGCTAACTCAACGTTTTTGAATAATGTTCATTTTTTGGGTTTTCAGGAAGCTTTCCCTAAACAACATGGAATTTAACAAAGTGGCTGTTGGCATATTCTTGACCGACGATGAGAGATCATACACTTGGCTGGCAGACTTCCTTTCATCACTACCGGAAGTAAACTTTGTGCAACCCATTCCCATCTCAGAGAGCAGCTTACAGAATCCTACAGAAAGAATCTCGGAATGTGACCTTGCCATTTTATACCATTCAAAGAAAGAAGGAGAATTGAATATACCAGATGTGACTGACTCTCTCTATGAAAAGAAACTGAAATATTTATGTGGTAAGAGGACAAATATCACCATAAAGTTTTACATTTGATGCTAACAAAGTAATGAACATTTATTTTTGTTATGTATTTATTTTTTGGTGGGTGACAGTATAGTACGTATGAGACTTACCTGTATAAGATATTTTCATGGCAGCATTTAATGCAATATGACATAAAAACATGCATTAGATCAGAAACAAACACTTTGCATAAACAAATCAGTTAACTAGAGAGACGCAGCATACCATGGACATAACCGTACTTCAGTCTTTATCCCATATCATTACCACCATTCTGCAGCTCGCTTACCATTTTTGCATAGTACATATGGATGTCCAGTATGAAATCAGAACCTAGTTTAAGTATTTTCTATAGACTCGGACATTAATGCTCTTCTCCTTAATATATTCCTCTTGTTTTATCACCTGGAAAAGGTTGGGCCTTCACTATACATGGTTTGAACAGATTGGCTAACTCAACGTTTTTTGTTAATGTTGTGATCTGACTCAGAAAATTAACACAGGTTGGGTATTCCTTCACCAAATGCAGCACTTGGTCAATCATGGGAGCTCTCCCAATCTTCCTGACTGATACATATAATCAAGCTGTACCCCGTGGACTTGTGTCTAAGAAGGAGATGTCTGGAAGACTCCTGTCACTCACGGTTAATATTGGCAACCTAGAAAATAAATGGGAATGGGCTCAAACCATGTGCTACACCAGTGGTGTCCAAAAGGTGTATCCCAGATGTTATGGAACTACAACTCCCATGATGTTGTGCATGCCTTTAGAATGCATTTAGAATGACAAAGCATCATGGAAGCTGTAGTTTGAAAACATCTGTGGATCTACCTTTTGGGCACCCCGGTGCCAACCACTATAGCTTGAAATTGTACAAACAACAGAGTTAGCGCACACAATTGGGTACAATCAAAAATACATATGATAGAACTTGTAACATTAAAACGGCATGTATATAAATATAAATATTGTCCAATGTCTTTGTTAAAACTTTTTTTCATATAGTTGACATTGGATGTACAGCCACTCCTTCCAAATTTCTCTGAGATTTGATATAAGTGCAGCGATAGTGGACTTTTACAAGGTGAGACCTCCACACAGAGTGTGTTTGGTGGAGGTTCCTCACCCAATAATATTACACCATCTTAAGTCTCTTCCCCTTCAGGTAGTCTTTTTATCATCCTAAAAGTGTTGGAAAGAATGAGTGGCTGTACATCCAATGTCAACTATATGAGCAAAGAAGTTTTAACAAGAACATTGGACAATATTTATATTTATATACATGCAGTTTGCATGTTATACGTTCTATCATATGTATTTTTGATTGTACCCAATTGTGTGCGCTAACTCTGTTGTTTGTACATTATACGCTTTGATACATAGGGGAGAATTAGAGGATAGCAGCACGGCTTTCTCTGTAAGCTTTAAAAGGAAAAACATTTTTATTTTATTTGAAGGGAAAGCGCCTCAGATCTGTGTATACATTTATATTTGAAATTACTTTTAAAATGATGAGCATGTTACAATTACAAGGTCAGATATGATTAATAGAATACAATATACATTCACTTATTGGATCTTCATAAACATACATTGACGAGGTGTCACCACAATATGTGTACACAGATGTCCATTAGGCAGCATGACATATCCCAGGATGAAATGCATTTCACTCGTATGTTTCCTGTCTGCTTTATAGAGAATAACAAGCTTTTACTGGTAGTCGATGATTTGGAAGGCAGCAGCCCCTCTGAGTACAGACAGATTTTGGAGAATCAGCCTAACATTACAAAATGGACCAAGAAAATCTTCGTCTTTACAAAACAGGAGAAGACATCTATCGATCGTAACGCTGAATCTCTGATAGGTGATTCACAGGCCAATGATTCTGATTATCTGTCAATGCAAGAAAAGCTGCAACACATTAAAAATATACTCAGAGGTAAAAGAAGCTCCATAGAAACTGTTACTCATTTACCATTTATTATTGGCAAGTTTCATCCACCAAACACTGACAGAGCTATTCACTAAACTCCAGATTGTAGCCAATTGATTTCCACGTAGCAACATGCAAGATAAAACAGCCACTATCTCTATAGCTAAGTTGGAGAATTTCTCCAAATATTCTATTTGAGCCTTAATTTTGCAATTTGTTAATCAAGTCAAAGTTTAGTGAATAAAAGTTCAGGAGACTTTCGAAATAAGGTAAACTGGCCAAATTAATTAAGTTCTCTAATTTAGTTATTTTTCTGTCTCACATTACTCGCTAGTTTGTAAATGTCACAGGGAGAGAGACAGGCTGGTTGTAAGTCAATACAGATGTTTATGCTGTTATTGTGGACACAGCACATTACAGTGAATGCTATTAAATATAATCTACAGCAAACAGAGGCGTAACTAGAAACCACTGGGCCCCGGTGCGAAAATTGCCCTGGCCCCCCCATATGTCTACGCCCTTCTAACCCCCCATACATCTACCCTCCCACTCCCATCCGTTCTCCCCACATGCAGACACACACATACACACAGAGACACACACATACAGGCACACATGCATACAGACACACACACAAACACATACATACATACAAACACGCAGACAGACATACACACACACACACATACATAAAACCACGCATAAACACACAGGCAGACATATACACACATAAAAACACACAAATACATATACACAAACACGCATACATACATACATCCACATACATACAAACACACACACACATACATCCAAACACACATACAAACACACATATATACAAAATGCTTTAGTCCTCCTCCTGTTTCCTACCTTTTAGGTGCAGGAGGGTGACTTCCCTCGGGTCCAGTGGTTACTCAGCCTGATGGGAGTCAGAGTTCCCACTCTGACTCACTCCTCTCTTTCTTCCCGCTTGGCTCCCGGTGTAAGCTGGGAGGAAGAGATCGGGGCAGTCACTTCCAGCATCTGACATCATCACAGGGGGTCCGCCGTTCTATTAAAGCGCCACAGCGCTGAGCATGCCCCTTGGTAATTCCCTGCCATTGGGTGGCCTTAACAGCATGGGCAACCCGATGGGTTAGTCAATGTGCCCCCAACGGTTATACCGCGTGGGCTGGGGCCGCAACACATGGCCAGCTGGGCACCGTGGTCAAAGGGGTCTGCAGGGCGTCCGGGTCTGCTGGAGTGATGTGCACGGTCGCAACTGCGACCCCTGAAACCGCGAAATTTCCGCCACTGACTGCAAACACTGATATATATAAACATTTTCTATTACTCAAACCATTTTTCACTTGCTTCTACATATAGACCTTGCTGTGTACATATAGGCTTATAAAAAGGATACAAATTCAATGGATTAAACATTATTCTAGCACAAAACCTGCACTCGTTGACCTGATTATTTTAGTGATAAATTACGGATTAATAAGGTATGTTTTTCATTGAGGCATCTTCCATTACCAGAATTTTACTGAACTACTAATAATTTCGGTTAGTGACGTCCAGTTATTTTAAAATCAATGGCATCATCTTGAGAGCTATTTGATTGCAGGTAGTATTGTACACACAATGTATGTTTACAAAACATGTTTCTGTATTGTTTGACGTGTAAGCGATTTATGCCGATATAACACCAGATTCTGCTTTAACATTCTTTTTTTTCTTAGCAGGGATAAATGTTGGAAAGCCACAGAGTAATGTTACAAGCCATATAGACTGGAAGAGTATACTCATCCAGGTAAGTGGCATGTGGCAGTATCATATACATATTGTACTAATCTACCTGTTCTCATTGTGACCACTGTTTTCACAGTAATGGCTGAGACCAGTCTTGTCCTTACAGGATCAATTGCTTTTTTATACCAGCAAGTAAACTGTTTTAAACAAATATACAAATCAAAATAAAGCAAGCAACATTTCCAAAATGTGTAATAAACCTTTATAAACTTGCTATAAACTTGGTCAGGTTGCATAGCTGGGCACACCTCTCAGCTAGGGGGGTTTCTTCAAAACAGGGCATCATTTTGCAGTAGCAGGAAAGAGAAACCCCACATGATCACACTGACCACACTCCCTCTTTTTTCCCTCTGTCAGGATTTTACAAGGTGAAGAGATCTTCCAATTACACATGTGTAAAGCTGTCAGGCATGCCCAAAGCACTTTTCCAGCATTCCTAGGGATAGGAAACTGATTGGTTAGATCAGTGTGCCCCCTGGAGTGAGTTTAAAAAGCTAAAGACAGTTGTCTCAAAATTATGCAAATTTTATCATTTCTCTGGTTAGATATTGTAATATTCTCCTATATCATTAGTTTTTCCATCCAGTGTAGGCTAGGGAAGGAGACAGTTATAATTTTGATAATCTTCCTGTTAATGAGTCTGGTATCACCATGGGTACAGTAGTATATCTTTATATTAATAGATAAAGCTAGTGACTTTGTGAGAGAAATGTGTGTCTCACAGCTTCTCCTGATATAGCTGACACACATATCCTTCTCTCTCTTTCATAGGAGGACATGGAAAGTGGTTCTCAGGAGAATTCAAAGAAGAATTTCTGCCAGGTATGTACACACATGCCACAGTCTGACTCGTAGAATCTATGCAGGTATGTACACACATGCCACAGTCTGACTCATAGAATCTATGCCAGGTACGTACACACATGCCACAGTCTGACTCGTAGAATCTATGCTAGGTATGTACACACATGCCACAGTCTGATTCGTAGAATCTATGCTAGGTACGTACACACATGCCACAGTCTGACTCGTAGAATCTATGCCAGGTATGTACACACTTGCCACAGTCTGACTCGTAGGATCTATGCCAGGTATGTACACACATGCCACAGTCTGACTCGTAGAATCTATGCCAGGTATGTACACACATGCCACAGTCTGACTCATAGAATATATGCCAGGTATGTACACACATGCCACAGTCTGACTCGTAGAATATATGCCAGGTATGTACACACATGCCACAGTCTGACTCGTAGAATCTATGCTAGGTATGTGCACACATGCCACAGTCTTAGGTTAATTCACTAAACAGGTATTTATGGATTATAGACTTGTAATGGAATTGGAAGAATAATGATTGTAAGGAGAACAAGGGAAAATACCCAACTGCTCAAACATAGACCTTAATTTAATATTTTTGGACAAAATATTAAAATATGAAAATATATCTTATCTATAAAAGTACATTTAAAATATTGCATTGAGGCCCTTGTTAGAGATATATCACATTATATATGGAAAAAAAATAAAAATAAACATTAACTCAATCAGTGTATTTAAACCAATCTGTGGAGATTGGAGTAAAGCATTGGTACAAATGTCCTTGGCACCCTTCTCTTCACACAAATGGTGTGAAATATATATAGACAAATAAAATACAATGATGTAATTCCATCATGTACAGCATAAGCTTATAGAAGCCAAGGCTATGGAATAGTTTTATATGTAATAAATCCGATTATTCTAATACCATAAACATTTCTCTATTCCCTATCTGAAACAGACTAGAACATGCCATATTAATATCAGCATGGATTGTATTTCATCATTAGCTTGTGAATGGAACTCAATGATGTCTTAAAAATATATTTTGTCTTCCAGAAATACCGTTATTGGCTAATGTCCCTTGCCATCTTCATTGTTCTGTTCATTACAATGATATTGGCAGCAACATGTGAAGACTGCAGCCCACCAAGTACCACGTTACTCACAACATATTTTACTGAAAATGCCACGACTAGTATGATAAACACAATTACCAGCACAGGAAGTACCACGACAGTCCCAGTAAATACAAGCGTTTCTCAAGGAAGCAACACAAGTATCACAGTGAAAACAACATCTAGACCAGGAAATACAACTACTGTTACAAATACTACCTCCAGCCCTCAAAGGTTTACAGACTCTGTTCCTATAAAAACAACATTTGATCCAGACATTGCAAACACCACTAGTACTACTACGTCAGATACAAACTCTACTTTTAATGTAACCACATCTTTTCAGAACTCAACTTATCTTCCTCCAGAAGACACTCTTACTCCAGAAAGCACAACTTATATCCACGGAGAAACAACATTTACTCCTGAAAACACAAGTACATTTCCGTTAAATGGAACATCTGTTTCTGGAAACACAATATACGTTTCTGAAAACACTAGTTTTGTCCCATTAGAAACAACACCTTCTCCAGGAAATACAACATTAGTTGGTACCGTCACATCCTCAGAAAATACAAGTCATTTTCCTTCAACTACAAACGTTACCTCAGGAAATACAATAAACACAAACTCTGCCAGAGATACAGAATATACATTGGCAAACACAAGTCATTTCACTTTGGAAGGAGCATCTGTTTCTGAAAATGGCAGTTCTTTCCCTCTAGTACAAACTTCTACTTCTGAAATTACAATGTCGGTCCTTGTAGATACAACTCCATATTCTGAAAATGCTAATTTTACTTCAGGAATTACAACAGAAACAAACTCTACTTCAGACATGATGTCGTTATAAACACAAACAATTTCACATCAGAAACAACAACTATTCCTGAAAACACCAGCTATTTCCCTGTGATACAAATTCCTACTTCTGAACATACTGGGTCGGTTCCTTTAGAGTTAACGTCAGATTCTGAAATCACAAACGTTACTTGAGGAATTACAATAGAAGCAAATTCTAATTCACATACAACATCTACTGTAAAAAACACAAACAATTTCACATCAGAAACAACAACTATTCCTGAAAACACCAGCTATTTCTCTGTAGAACAAACTTCTGCATTTGTAAATACTGTGTTGGTTCCTTAGGTACAACTCCTGCTTCTGAGAATGCAAGTATTCATTTATTAAGAACAAGAATTTCTCAAGGAGATACAGCATCGATTCCTTTGGATACAACTTCAAGTTGAGGAAATACGAGTTCTTTTCCTTTCCAAACGTTACTTTGGAAAATCTAGATCTCTATACTTTAGATAATACAGAATCTGTCCTCATCCAAACAAACCCTTCAGATAGTTACATTGTGATATTTCCTTCAGGAATTACAATAGAAACAAACTTTTCTTTGGATACGACATGCAACTAAAATATTTCCACATTAGAAAAAAACATCTATTCCTGAAAATACCTGCTTGTTTTTATTGGATAAAACCTCTACATCACTGAGCCCGTAGATCCAACACTTTATTCTGAAAATGCAAAATGTACTTCAGATACAATCTCTTCTTTTGGAAAACAATTCATTTTACTTTACAATAAAGTTCAGTTCCAAAAACTGCCAGTCATTATCCCTTTGAAGAACATGCAGTGAACATGCATCTCCTATGCAACCGTTTTGTCTAAAAAATTCAAACTTTACTTCAGAAAATACCATGGATATAAATTCTACCTCAAATCCAATCCAATCCAGTCATTTCACTCTAGAAACAGCATCAATGCCTTTAAATAATAAGCACACACTTTTCTTTTCCTGTAGATGCCATCCCTAATTGTGAAAAAAACATGTTTCTCCATGTAGGAGGAACCTATACCGTGTATAACTCCTGCTGCTGCAGACAATCTAGGTGACATTCCCTTAGACACAACCCATTTTGTAAGAAGATGCAATGTCCATTTCATTAAAAAAAAAAAAACTCTGCTTTAGGAAGTTCAGATTATATTTCTAGCTAAATAAATACAAAGGCAGGTTCACGTATTCTTTTGAAAAAAATAATCTTTTATTTCCAGTTAGAAACATCATCTACATTTAATAAAACCACAAGCACCATCCTACTAAATTCAATATCAAAGTATTTAGTCTCAGGTACTCGTTCTTACTTAGAATCCTGTATTACAATGGATGCCATGCTGTGCCCTGTACACTGGATGGTCCCAGTGCCACTATTAGTAACGAAATAAGATGTTTGGATATAATTTATGCTCGAGGATACATTTTTGTCTGGTATTTTATATACAGAACTTGAAAATGTTATTCCTTTAGATAAATCTCTCATTTATGGAATAAACTGAACACATGACTTTTCACAATTACATAACATGTATAATTAGTAGACACCATAGAGATGTCTATATAATGGACTGTTTTGTTATAAAGTGTTGGACCCTCGTTGACTCAGTAGATGGACAATTCAAAAGCATGTCAGGAAGGAATCGTAATGTCACACTGGTCATTTTGAGGAAAAGGGGTCTAATCAGAGTTTATATTAAGCCATGTGCTCTGCGTTATGAGTTACACATATCTATGGCTAACGAGAACTAGCTGCTCACCATTACTATATTGACTGTCATTCTCTGAAGTTCTGCCTGTGCATAACACACAGAACGACAGGCGTCGTTAGGGACTAATTTGTGGCTTGGTGAATGGTGTCGGGAGCAAGGATTTGGCTTTATTTCTCATGGTAGCTCTGTTTGGAATGGAAATAAGCTGTACAAAAAAGATGGTTTGCATCTTTCTCAAAAGGAAACAAATGTTCTCAGTGAGCAGTTCAGAGGTTTTGCTAGGATGTATTTAAACTAGGAGGGGGGGGCAAAAGGGTGATAAAACATCAATCCAATTGTCCCCCAAAACAAGGACAGAAGGCGCCTGTAGCAAGTGTGTTAAAAATGATAAGCTTAGAGTCATGTCTACAAATGCTCGCAGTTTAGGGAATAAGATCCATGAACTTGTGGCAATAATGGCAGCTGATAGTGTAGATTTAGTCGCTGTTACTGAGACATGGTATAATGAGAAAAATGACTGGGACATAGCAATACCAGGGTACTCTTTATATAGAAAAGATAGGGAAGGCAAGAAAGGGGAGGGGTGGCCCTGTATGTGAAGGATAGCATAAAATCTAGCCTAATAAAAGTTAGTGAGGCAGACATAGAGTCCGTTTGGGTTACGTTAGAATTTGGTAATCACACAGTAACTCGTGTAGGTGTGATTTATAGGCCCCCAGGACAAATTGAAGAGTTAGATAATCTACTAGTTGAGGAAATAGCTAAAATGACAATAAAGGGGGAAGTTATCATCATGGGTGACTTTAATCTTCCTGATGTAAATTGGAAAACAAAATTAGCTAATTGTGCCATGAGCACACATATTCTAAACTCCCTACTGGGATTGTCTCTAAAACAAGTCGTTGAGGAGCCAACTCGTAAGGAGGCCATACTAGATTTATTGTTAACAAATGGCGATTTGGTATCAGATATTACTGTTGTTGAAAGTCAGTGTGGTTTAATATAAGAACAGTGACTGAGTCACATCACACAAAAACAAAAGTTTTAGACTTCCAAAAAACAGACTTTTCTTAAATTAGAATATGTGTAGAGGAGTCATTATCAGACTGGAGCAATTTAAATGGTGTCAAAGAGAAATGGGATTATTTAAAAGTTGCTCTATTGAAGGCAACAGAAAATTGCATTAGGCTTGTCAGTAAAAGCAAAAAATTCAAGAAACCACTGTGGTTAAAAATAAAAAGTTAGCATTTAGTAATTATAAAAAAAAATAAAAATAAAAAAAAAGAATGTGATTTTTGATGTTGAACATCTAAAATCACATGGATTTCAAGATCAGAGACAACATGGGTTTACTTCAGGGAGATCATGCCAAACTAATCTTATTGATTTTTTTGATTGGGTAACTAAAATAATAGATCAGGGTGGTGCAATAGACATTGCATAGATAGATTTCAGTAAGGCTTTTGACACTGTTGCACATAGAAGGCTTATCAATAAACTGCAATCTTTAAGTTTGGATTCCAATATTGTAGAATGGGTAAGGCAGTGGCTGAGTAACAGGCAACAGAGGGTTGTAGTCAATGGAGTAAAAATGGGGTTGTCACCAGTGGGGTACCTCAGGGATCTGTACTTGGACCAATTCTCTTTAAAGCATCACTATAGGGTCAGGAACACAAACATGTATTCCTGACCCTATAGTGTTAAAACCACCATCTAGCCCCCCTGGGCCCCTCATGCCTCCATAAATATAGCAAAATCTTACTGTATTCAAGCCAGAAGCTGTGGATCTGCATGCTGTTTGCAAAAAAAAAAAAAAACAAGCAGTCTGCTGACATCATGAGAAGTGGTAGCCTGAACCAATCACAATGCTTCCCTATAGGATTGGCTGAGACTGACAAGGAGGCAGATCGGGGGCAGAGCCAGCACAATTCAAATACAGCCCTGACCAATCAGCATCTCCTTATAGAGATGAATTGAATCAATGAATCTCTATGAGGAAAGTTCAGTGTCTGCATGCAGAGGGTGGAGATACTGAATGTTTGGATGCATTTTAGGCAGCCATGACCCAGGAAGGATCTCTAACAGCCATCTGAGGAGTGGCCAATGAAGTTATCACTAGGCAAAATCCTTGCCTGAAAATTATAGACCTGTGAGCTTAACTTCTGTGGCTGGGAAATTATTTGAACGGCTATCAAGGGATAATATTCAGGAATTCATTGGGAAGAACTTTGTTATTAGCAATAATCAGCATGGTTTTATGAAACATAGGTCATGTCAAACTAACCTAATTGCATTCTATGAAGATGTACGTAGAAGTATAGATCAGGGTGTTGCAGTGGATGTGATCTACTTGGATTTTGCCAAGGTATTTGATACGGTTCCTCACAATAGGTTAGTCTTCAAACTAAAAGAAATTGGTCTAGATGAATATTCTTGTTCTTGGGTAGAACATTGGCTTAAGGATAGAGTACAACAAGTTGTCATTAATGGTAAATTTTCAAGCTGGACAAAAGTGGTAAGTGGTGTCCCTCAGGGTTCTGTTTTGGGACCGCTTCTATTTAACATATTTATAAATGATCTTGAAATGGGCATTGAAAGCCATGTATCAGTGTTTGCAGATGACACAAAACTTTTTAAAGTAATAAAATGTGAGCAGGATATTGCTTTGCTGCAGAGGGATTTGGATAGATTGGGGCAGATGCAGAGGGATTTGGATAAATAAAATGGCAGATGAAATTTAACGTAGAGAAATGCAAAGTTATGCACTTCGGGGTTAAGAATGCACAAACAATTTACACCCTAAATGGTAGTGAACTAGGGATAACCACACGCGAGAAGGATTTGGGAATTGTTATAGACAACAAATTAGGCAGCAATATGCAATGTCAATCTGCCATTGCTAAGGCCAGTAAGGTTTTGTCATGTATAAATAGGGGCATAAATTCTCGAGATGAAAATATAATTTTGCCTCTTATCTAAATCGCTGGTAAGACCACACCTTGAATATGCTGTGCAATTTTGGGCACCTGTTCTAAAGAAAGATATCATGGCACTAGAAAAAGTGCGAGACGAGCTACAAAATTGATAAAAGGAATGGAGCATTTTAGTTATGAAGAAAGGTTAAAAAATGTAAATCGCTTTAGTTTGGAAAAACGGCACCTGAGAAGGGATATGATAACATTATACAAATATATTCAGGGCCAGTACAAACCATTATCTGGAAATCTATTCATAAACAGGGCTATACATAGGACACGAGGTCACACATTTAGACTGGAAGAAAGGAGATTTCATCTAAGGCAAAGAAAAGGGTTTTTTTACAGTAAGAGAAATAAGGATATGGAATTCTCTGCCTGAAGATGTGGTTTTGTCAGAGTCTATACATATGTTTAAACTGCAATTGGATAAATACTTGCAAAAACATAACATACAGGGATATAATTTCTAATTAGTGGGGTAATAGCTGCTTGATCCAAGGAGACATCTGACTGCTATTTTGGGCTATGTAACTATGTAATGTAAACACTGTGTTTTCTCTGACAATACAGTGTTTACAGCAAAAAGCCTGAAGGTAATGATTCTACTCACCAGAACAAATTCAATAAGCTGTTGTTCTGGTGACTATAGTGTCCCTTTAATATTTTTATTAGTGAAATTGCAGAAGGTCTTGATGGTAAGGTATGTCTTTTTGCTGATGATACTAAGATATGTAACAGGGTTGATGTTCCAGGAGGGATAAGCCAAATGGCAAATGATTTAGGTAAACTAGAAAAATGGTCAGAATTGTGGCAACTGACATTTAATGTGGATAAGTGCAAGATAATGCATCTTGGACGTAAAAACCCAAGGGCAGAGTACAGAATATTTGATAGAGTCCTAACCTCAACATATGAGGAAAGGGATTTAGGGGTGATTATTTCTGATGACTTAAAGGTAGGCAGACAATGTAATAGAGCAGCAGGAAATGCTAGCAGAATGCTTGGTTGTATAGGGAGAGGTATTAGCAGTAGAAAAAGGGAAGTGCTCATGCCATTGTACAGAACACTGGTGAGACCTCACTTGGAGTATTGTACGCAGTACTGGAGACGGTATCTCTGGAAGGATATTGATACTTGTAATGGATCACCTGGCACCCCGACTAGGCACCTCCGTTAACGGATGCTTCCTAGTTGACGCTGAGGACTATACCGCACCGGACACCACAACCGCCGCAGACTCCACAACCACTGTACTTTAACTGGAATCTCACCGTCTTCCTTCTTCCTGGACCAATTTCGGACATCCAGGACCATGTGGGGGAAACCTCTCCTCCAGGAGAGCGTAACAGGAACAGCTCTTAAAAGAGCTAAGTGATTAGAGCCCAGGGGAGTATACAAAGTATAGCAATCCCCATTGTGATTATAGCAGTTCCCCTCCAATCATGAGACAAGACTACGTGTTGAGGGTCAAACAGGGTCAGAAAGATTAATGGCACACACTGGTCTTTTATACAAAGTTTACAACAAAGGTGACGCCCAGGTGGACCTAGTTGGGTACCGAATACAAAACATACAAGCCAATAAAAACAGAGGTTTACATTCAGACACTCCATACAATGTACAAAATCCCTCTCCTCTGCCTGTGATACAATTAACAAAGACAATGGACTAACTCAATTAACTCTAAGCAGAAAAAACATACATCTTTACAAAGTCTGGTAAACACTCCAAAACACCACATATCACCCAGATCAGATCAGGGGTTCAGGAAACTCCTGGAAGTCTCTTTTAACCGACCAAAAGCATGGCTTCATGCCCAAAACAGTTCCAGAGAATTAGGCTGTGCGGCCGGTCTATTTTCAAGGTTGAAAGTGCACTATAGTACAAGCAAGGGTGGGGTCAGACAATAGCAAGGGCTAATGGAAGATTGAGGAGGGACAGAGCAGCCAGTTTAAACTCATCTGGCAGTGTCTCTGGGACAACGCCCTGCTGGAGAAACAATAGGACAAGAAAAAGGGGGAGGGGAAGAGGCACATTTTCCCATGGAAGTCACTTTTTAACATAGCTTTTTACAGGACCCATATAAATTGGGCAAAAGGCTTGCCATTAGTCCTCTCCAAAAACCAGTGTCGAAATTGCTTTCGTCACAATACTTTAGAGAGAGTTCAGAGAAGGGCTACTAAACTGGTTCATGGATTGCGGGATAAAACTTACCAGGAAAGGTTAAAGGATCTTAAAATGTATAGCTTGGAGGAAATACGAGACAGGGGGGATATGATAGAAACATTTAAATACATAAAGGGAATCAACACAGTAAAGGAGGAGACTATATTTAAAAGAAGAAAAACTACCACAACAAGAGGACATAGTCTTAAATTAGAGGGACAAAGGTTTAAAAATAATATCAGGAAGTATTACTTTACTGAGAGGGTAGTGGATGCATGGAATAGCCTTCCAGCTGAAGTGGTAGAGGTTAACACAGTAAAGGAGTTTAAGCATGCGTGGGATAGGCATAAGGCTATTCTAACTATGAGATAAGGCCAGGGACTAATGAAAGTATTTAGAAAATTGGGCAGACTAGCTGGGCCGAATGGTTCTTATCTGCCGTCACATTCTATGTTTCTATAATATTGCAAAGCGCTGTGGAATAAGTTGGCGATATTTAAATACTACTAATAATAATAATCAAAATAATAATAATAATTGACTCTGCCTTGGTAGTCACAATTGTATGTTCTGTAATAAACCTCTCAAATGTGTTTTCTGACTGTGTGTGGAGGAAAGAAAATTGCCACCACTATCAAATTAAAATAACCAATTCCTAGATTCCTATATGCTCGAAAGAGTTAGATGGTTTACAATATTAAAATCCTTACCTGTTCAGGCTGTTTGTGAAGCAGAAATGCTTTTCTAATCAGTGTCTGAGTTTCAGATATGTGGAAGTACCGGTATCTATTCTCATATTTCAAGAAGACCCATTTTAAGAAACCAGTATGATTCCGGGTAAGCTAAGTGCTACTTTTACTTTTGGTTTTGGCTTATTCACTAAATTAGAGAGATTCGAAATTCCCCTTTTTCAGCTTGAGTCTTTATCCATCTGTATCCGCACCAGTATTGTCACAACAGTCTCTCAGACATTCCACCTCTTTTCTCTCCTGTTCTATGCTCTAATTTTCACTGTTGCGATATTTAAATACTACTAATAATAGTAATTAAAATAATAATAATAATTGACTCTCCCTTGGAAGTCACAATTGTATGTTCTGTAATAAACCTCTCAAATGTGTTTTCTGACTGTGTGTGGAAAATTGCCACCACTATCTTTCATTCGTATTTTTATGTAGATTTATTTTTAATCTTTATATTGATTTTTATTTATTTCTATATTCATTTTTGTTCCTGCACTTTGATTTTCATTTCCATTTCTATTTTGATTTCATTCGTTTTTTCACTTTTTGTTTCGTTCCTCACTTAGCTCACCCACTCCTTCACTCTCCTCCATTTCCTTTATATTCTATTTTTGCCTTGCATACACATCCATTTCCTTTGTACCTATTATTCCTTGTGCTTTTACACTGCTTCACATTTTTACACAAGATGATATACACTGGAGGAGGACACTATAAAGAACTATATAGATAATGCATAAAATATATACAGACAATATCAAATAAACAAATAAGATAATTCCCCCCACACCCCCAGAATGTAAGCTCATTTGAGCAGGGCTCTCTACACGCTCTCTTTCTGTGGATCCTACTCACCTTGTAACACATGCTTGTCTGTTTCTCCACCCATTGTACAGCACTACGGACTTTGTTGTGCTTTATACATAATAATAATAATAATAATAACTTGTGTGATGAACTGAACCTCGCCAGCCTCTTGCCTCAGGACTATGGGCCCTGCAGTATAGCTTGCCCAATGCACTTGAAAAGGCTCTGTTCATGTGAGTTATGTACTTTTGCACTCCAGACAGAGAGACCGACTGTTAGCACTGATTCCCTGGAACTGTTTTGGGCATAGGACCATGTTGCAGAGCTGCAATTTTATAATCCCAGGATCTCTGCTGGTAGAATGCAATAACCAAGTACAAAGCTGGAAGCAGGCAATATTCCCAAATCCTCCCAAGAACCAGACGAAACACAGTCTGAGAGTCAACTGCCACTTTATTCAAAAAGACTGATATTTAAAGCAGGTCACTCAACTGTCACTTTATTAAAAATAACTGATATTTAAAGCAGGTCACTCAACAGGGGTTTCCAAAGATGGGCAGCAGGGGTTTTGGTTGAGGGGACTGGAGGGAGACTACCGTTTCCAGGTCCTCCTCCCAACAGCCCCTGCTGTAACATACAGTAATGAAAACTACGAGGACATAAACCGTTACCTTTCTACTTCAAAATATACAACTTAGTCAGTTTTAATAGCAATGCTAACGAATGGGGAGGATTCGAACAGACATACACAGTACAGCATAAATTAAACATAGCCGGAGACGCCACACTATACCGGCGCGCAGTACACAACAGAAAATAGGCACAACCATTCTATCTTAGGCAGTCCCAAGTGGCTAGGTTTGCCACAATATGAAAACAATCTGTACAGTTTTATGAACCATGTTCTCTTCAAATAATTTAAAATTAATAACTTATAGCAAGTGGAAAAGGCCAAACAAGCCACTGGTCAAAGGACAGAACAGAAAGTTGTCCGGAGAGAGGATACAATCTACTAGTAAACAGATGATTTATATACCAGAGTGGAAGAGTCGATAATTTGAATTTACAAAATGTCCCAAATCCAAAAAATGTCAGGCAACACACAGAAATTACAGGCATTCCCTGAAAACAAAAAGAAGAAAGTTCTATCAGGCGTTTTAAGTAGATATTGTATCATCACTCATTAGAGATTATTGCCAAAGATCGAATAAATACAATATACTATTAAAGGAACATTATAGCACGAGAAATATGAATGTGTATTCATAACGCTATAGTGCCCAGGTGGCTGTTTAGGTACCTGGTCCCTGTATGTAGGTCATGAAAAGGGTGTTCCCCCTTGAAGCATTTCAGCCATCCAGCCTTCTTGACTGAGATCATTGTGCATTACCATAGTAAAGCAGTCACAGCCTGGAGCACATGAAAGGCACAAAACTGCTCTGAGCCAATCAGATGATCTCTTTGAGAAACGCCTGTGGAAACGCCTCTAATGGCTGTCAGATTGACACGAGAGCCATTTATAAACTAGCAATGTAAAGATTGTTGTTCTGGCAATGTTTAGAGTGAAAGGCTAAAAATAAAATATTGAAATGAAGTGGTGTAAATGCCTATAGTGTCACCTAAAAAAGATACATATGTAAATCTAATGTATACAACGATTATATTGGTTCTTTCGTAAAGGGGAGTTCAATGAATACACTGTGTAATTTTCTATGGTTTTTATTCTAAAATCGTGTATGTTTCCTGCATAGACCACTGTCTCGGTTCTAACCCGGGTCTGATAATCCCTAGGAATGAACTGAATCAGAACGTCCTACATAATGTAAACAAGGGACTAGTAGAGTTATTAAATATGCTATTGGTAGAGCACTCATTGGGCCATTTCAATTCATATTTGTTATTGGTGACATCTTTTTCCTCAATGTCCGTTCTTTGGACAAATGTTCATTACCTGTCTAGATTTGCTAATTTTGGACAGGACATTGTTCTTGTTATTAAAGATTGTCCCCAGAGAGACAAATCAAGATCCTTGGATTATATTCTATACTCTCATTCCTGGGGGGATCGGTATCGGGTCACATTTTATTCTTCCAGGTTCTGTTTTGCTGTTATTAAGGCTGGTATTGCAGCAGAAGCAGAATGTTAGCCTGGTGGGTCATTGCTCCCATAATCTGGTTTCTAGAATCTATCTCTGGAGTATAAACCCATGCAGTGATATTGGGATGCTGGGGTCCTGTCAAGTTGGCAGAATGGGCTAAATGTACAACCCAAACAGTGTCCAAAGATACTTTCTGTAAAATACCTTAATCTGTTCTTACTACAAAAGATGGCTCAACTAATATAACTATGGGGTTTGAATGCTTATACAAACATCATATTTCATTTTATTTCTTTTTTTTTTATATCTACTATAAATACCTAGTTTTGACTTTTAAATATACTCCATAGAGTAGAAGGAATTGCAATAAAAATATTGGCTTGGCATTTGTTAGTCTGCATCATTTTTAATCAAGATAACAATCTGATAATTTTCACTAAGTCTGAAGACTTTGCAAAGTATTTTATATCTTACCTTCCAGCTTTGTAAAATCCTTGTTTTACCTGTGAAGTAAATACAAATAAAGATTAGATTAACGCACAAAAAGTTGGACTCAGACACAGCTTTCAATTGAGTTAATATTTTCAAAACATTTTTACATTTTGATAATTTTTGATACATTGATATATTTTTTAGAGATTATATATTTATATATTGAAATATTTGGAAACAATTTATTTTAAAAAGATTATTAAAAATAAATAATAACTCTTTTGACAAGCTTATACAAAAATATAAAATTGAGGGAATTTGTCAGTAATTTCTGGCGATTTAGAATGAGCATCACATATTAATATGAGAATTTTTTTTTTTACTTGACCTGAGTATTTGAAACATTTTGCACTGACTAAACTCCCAAATAAATGTTTGTCCTCTGTAAACTAACTGCATCTATACAATGAAATGAAAACAAAGGAAGTAAATCAAATCAAAGAGGAAAACATTTTACTGAAGAGGAAAATATGGGGATACAAATAAATAGTGATGTCCCGAATGGTTCGCCGAACGGTTCGCCACGGATGGCGAACATATGCGCTGTTCGGTCCGCCCCCTATGTCATCATTGAGTAAACTTTGACCCTGTACCTCACAGTCAACAGACACATTCCAGCCAATCAGCAGCAGACCCTCCCTCCCAGACCCTCCCACCTCCTGGACAGCATCCATTTTACATTCGTTGTGAAGCTGCATTCTTAGTGAGCTGTCCAAGAGGTGGGAGGGTCTGGGAGGGAGGGTCTGCTGCTGATTGGCTGGAATGTGTCTGTTGACTGTGAGGTACAGGGTCAAAGTTTACTCAATGATGACATAGGGGGCAGACCGAACAGTGCATTTGTTCGCCGTCCGCAGCGAACCGTTCGGCGAACCGTTCGGGACATCACTACAAATAAACAGACAATTCCAAATGATATGGATTATCACAGACAACATATACTGTGATAAAATTCCCTATAAACTATGTCAGTTCCATCAAACTCATCAAAACTAATTTTTTTTGCCTTCTTTTGGATCAACTGCTAAAAACAAACTTGATGGACACACATCTCTTTTCAGCCTATGTAACATACACTAGTTATCTATTAAAGTACATTTAAAAGTATTGTAAAAAGGGGGAAAAAATAAAAAAAATGCATCTTCTAATAAAATGTATATAACAACTTGTCTTATGTGTGTCTTCTCTGTGGGTTGCACGAATGTGTTTCAGCTGCAATGACATATCAAATTCCTTTTACTCTGCGCCCAAACAAATCAATCCTTACAGGATTTACCTGCGGAGTCAGATTAATCGATTAGTCCGATTGTAGAATTATATTCTTTCGTAGCGAATGAAATGCATTAGTTCTCAAGTCTAGTTGCAAGTACTGGGCTGTGCTTTAAATATTTACATTTTCTGACTAACCTGTCATCATGGTGACCGAGACTTTGGTAGACATGGCGCAAAAAACAATTTTCCATTTACCTTTTTCTTCAATAAAGTCCTTTATCTGTATTAACATTTTGCTCTGACTTGGTTTGACTACTTTCTCCATTGTGGTAAAGAGGAATAGATCTTTGGCCAGTCTCTCAATGCTCGGCTGGTTCTGTAGGATCCTGGTCTTCTGCTCTGAGCTGCCGGCATCCAGATCATCAATCACCACAATAACATTTTCCTTCCCTGCAACGCAAACACATACACTATATGGACCTTGGATAAGTCAGAACACTGTGAATGAAATATTTAAGTCAAAGACCTCCTGCTCTGGGCTATCAGGTATAAAGCATGCTGACAACCTCATGTGTCCACAATATTGTGAGCTGGGATTCTCCGAGACTGATAGCAAGCCAGGAGGGCTTTCATTTACATAACACTGGTTGATCTCTCACATCTCAATAATATTTACTGCCTTAAGGCATTTTCTACATTTTATTTATTATTAGTATTATTTATTAAGGTACTTTGGTTAATAATAGGTCAATTGTAAAACAATCTGTCTGTCTGTCTATCTATCTAGCTATCTATCTATTTATAGCCAGTATAACCAGTGGTGGGGGCTTTATTCCAGTCTCATAGTATGAAATCCTATTTACTGGAGTCAGTATTTGTCATTTTACTTGGAATCTTTGAGATAAAATATGTAATTCTTACCGAATCTACGAGATAAATATTCCAGCTCTCTGTCATAAATGGAGTCTGTGACATCGGTGATATTAACCCTTCCTCTATTCTTCGTGTGATAGAGAACGATTACTGTGATACCTTTAATGTATTTAATTAAATTCATATTGGTACTGGAGATATAAACAGGCTGGACATGTCCCACGCATGGTATAGTCAACAGATTGGATATCAGCCATTCATATGAGCTCCGATCATCTCGTGAGACGATTAGAACGCAAACTTTACTGGAAAAGAAATGTGAAGAATGAAAGGAAACAAAAAGGCATGGAATGTGTTTAAATATATGTCTGTGTCCATAAATACAAAGTAAAGCAATGAACAAGCCATCAGTTGGCGTCTCTGAGATTTATTGGCTTTGATCGTGTGAAGGATCAACACCATGGTGGAACACAAGGCCAAATGACTCATTCAACATGAAGAATTCTGGATTCATACACTGGATATACATATATATTCCAAAATGCTTTAGACTTGAGTAAGGGAGGATCTCATGAAAACTTGTTTTTCCAAAATTCTTCTAGACCAATAAAAAGGTACCAGATACTAATTTCTTCTGATATATATATATATATATATATATATTAGTATATCATTTTAATATATCTGTGTTTGTGTTTATGTGTACCTTTTTATTAGGGTGAATATTAATGACTATGCTTATTGTTGTATTTGCTTATATAGTAACGTGTATTTTTATTTCAATATTTAATTAGTTTAGTCTATCTATTATTATTATTATTTATATAGCGCCACCAAATTCTGCAGCGCTTTACAATGGGGGGACGAACAACCATGTAGTTGTAACCAGACAAGTTGGACAACCAGGAACAGAGGGGTTGAGGGCCCTGCTCAATGAGCTTACATGCTCTAGGGGGTTGGGGTAAAATGACACAAAAAGGTAAGGATAGTATTAGACTAGTGACAGTTGCAGAAGAGGAATCAGTCAGGAGCTATTAACAGTTTAATTGATACGCTTTTATGAAGAAGTGGGTTTTTAATGATTTTTTGAAGGAGTGGAGACTGGGTGAGCATCTAACGGAGGAAGGAAGTGAGTTCCACAGGAACGGTGCAGCCCTTGAGAAATCTTGAAGGCGAGCATCAGAGGTGGGAGTACAGACAGAAGATAGACGTAAGTCTTCAGCAGATCGTAAGGGCCTAGACGGGACATACTTGTGTATAGGGGAGGATAGATAGGTTGGAGCAGCATTATGTAGCAATCGGAAAGCAAGAACCAGAATTTTAAATTGAGCCCTATATCTTACAGGAAGTCAATGTAGGGACTGACTGAAGGGTGAGGCGTGGAAGGTGCGGGAGGACAGTAAGATAAGCCTCGCCGCCACATTCATTATGGACTGTAACACCACAAATTGTGAGCAAGTAAGACCATGGAGAAGCGGATTACAGTAGTCAAGGCGAGAAAGGACAGTGGAATGGGCCAGCACCTTAGTCGCATCTGGCGTTAAGTAGGGGAATTTTAGTGAGAGCTAGAGAAAGAGAAGAAGACAGAGTATGGATGAGATGCAATGGAATTGGATCTAGGGAGCAGGTGGTGGGGCGGGAGGACTGGAGCAGAGCAGAAACCTCTTCCGCGGTAGCGGGTACGAATGAAAATAGAACAGCAGAGGGAGTGAGGTTAGTGAAAGTATTTTAAGGGGAAGAAGAAAGATAAGAGATCTCTTACCTGATTGTAAAGCTCTTGTCTATCTATCTATACAGTATCTATCTATACAGTATCTATCTATCTATCTATTCAGTATCTATCGATCGATCTATCTATCTATCCATTATCTATCTATCTATCTGTTCAGCATCTATCTACCAATCTATCTATCTATACACTATTTATCTATCTATACAGTATCTATCTATCCATTATCTATCTGTCTGTCTGTCTGCCTGTCTATCCATCTATCTCTGTGCACGTGTGTTGTGTATAATATCATATCACTATAAAATGTAATATGGTATATAATATGTTCTTACCTTGATCTGCAGGGAAGGATTCCTTGCATTGTCGCTGTGTTATCCTGATCCACCTTTCACCTATGACTGTGACCAATGGGACTTTGCTTCTAAGACTCAGTAGTTTCCTCAGCTTCAGTCTTTGGATCTCTAAGATAAGTTATTCGTATTAATTCTACTCCCTTATAGAGATGAGACCAGCAGAAGAATAAAACAATGCATTTACTAGATGGGCATCATATCACTCTTTAGAATGATGCTGCTTTGGTTAATCAATACTAATCAGGATTTTTAGACTAATCAGTCAGCTTTGGAATACCCCATACAGTTGTCCTTGACCACACATAGAGAAAGGAGATTGCAGTAAATGGAATTCTCCCTCACCCCAGTTTAATCCATTACCATATTCCTCTGCTTCAGCTCTTTAGATTGAATTTACATTCTCTCCTAAACGTGTGGAAGTGGGAGTGCTAAGGGTTCTTCAACTACAGGAGAAAAGAAAAGATGGCTGGACAGCAATCTCTGTATACCTACTAACAGATATGAAAATATTATCACTGACTCACAAACAATATGGTTCTAATCGTCAATCTGGGTCTGAGAGTAGGGACGGTACAGACAGTAACGCTAATACTTTTCTTACCGCTGACTGGCTTCCAGAAAATAAAATGCTAGATGTTGTTCCCATTCTTATGTTTCCTGTAGTGTCTGGTTTACCCAGGTTTAAAAAATATTGTCCAACCATTGATTGCCCACCCGTATTGCACATACATTGATTCCCCACCCATGTTGTCCACCCATTGATTGCCCACTCATGTTGTCCATTCATTGATTACCTACCTATATTGTATCTTCATTCATTGCCCACCCATATTATCCATTCATTTATTATTCACCCATATTGTCCATTAATTTATTGCCCACCCATATTGTTCATTCACTTATTGCCCACCCACATTGTTCATTAATTTATTATTCACCTTTATTGTCCATACACTTATTGTCCACCCATTTTGTCTATTCATTTATTATTCACCCTTATTGTCTATTAATTTAGTATTCACCCATATTGTCCATCCATTGATTGCCCACCCATATTGTCCATTCATTGATTGCCCACCCATATTGTCCATTCATTGATTGCCCACCAATATTGTCCATTCATTGATTAACTACCTACCCATATTGTCCATTAATTTATTATTCACCCATATTGTTAATTTATTCATTGCCCACCCATATTGTCCATTGTTCTGTGATAAAACATGTGGCGGAACAGACCTCGCCACGTGCTCTTGGAGGGGGCTGCTTGCCCGCCTCCTACCTTCGGACTATGGCCCTGGGATATATGGCATTTGAAAACACTATTTGTGCCCTGTGACAAAACTGGAGATTGTGCACAAATATGACTATTTTCCATATGTTTTATGATTCCCTTCGTTTGTTGCACTGTTCCCCATGTGTCTCATCTGTTGGTCCGGCTGGATAGACTACCAGACAAACTGTGGAGTTACTGGGTGGCCCCCATTTCATATATCAGAGGCACATGGTGAGAACAATGGATGAAGCACATGGTGAGAACAATGGATGGCGTCCATTTTAACTCACAGACACTGTTTGGACTTTTCTAGACAGTGCCACCTCGACGGTATTTGGTGCACAAAGACATCATGCAGTAGTTTTAAACTACAGAACAGGGGACACATTATACAGTAATTCTTTTTCAAATAGCCTGTATTTGTTCTGCGGAATCTGCATTAAACTGTTTTTATGGGGTTATTGCTATGTGATATGTTTTATAATACTGTATTTCTCTACCTGTGATAATTATATTACCCATTGTGTTCAGTAATCATATCACAGGCAGAGGGGAGGATTTTGTGTGGGAGTGTCTGTGTGTATTGTACGGATTGATTGGCAGTGTTTCAAAACCCTGTGGGCAGTACTATGTTTGTGGATTGTGAATAAAAGAGGCTGTATGTGCCAGTACAGGTAGTTCTGCTTGACTTCAAAATGAAGTGTTGTCTCGTTATTGGGGGAATTGGATTGTATGCTGATTGCCAGGAGTGTAAGCTGATTGTATGCTTTTCCTGTTCAGCTGTTTACAGCATTCATATGCTTGAGATCATTCACATGCTTCTCCGGTTCGGTGGTTGTGGTGTCTGCTGCAGTGCTTGGAGTCCTCAGGAAGCGCTAGGAGCATCAATGGAGGTACCCAGTCGGGGTGCCAGGTGATCCGTTACAAAACAATATTTAATTAGTTAAGATTTTAGTTCCACACCAGACTCTGTAGAATAATGTATAGCTAAATTATTGCCAAGAAAGACTGCTCCTGAAAGCCAAAAAAAGAGGTTTAAGGTTTGTTTTGTTTTTTTAAATGAATTTACTTATAACTTAATGAAAATAAAGCACTGCTGTGCCAGATATGGCCACTGTGAGACTCGAATCTGGTCTATCAGAGCCCTACAAAACCAACCAATCAGAATCAGTCACATTTTGGAGCATCGAAAGGCCTTTCTCTCATTGAAATGACAACTGGCACTAGGCCATCAAAGGGCAACGATTAATTCCTTTTATTGTAGTGCGTTTTTTGTGGGGTTTTTTAATAGTTTTTTAGGTTTGGTCTTTTATTTTAAATATAATTGTGTTGGTTTTTAATATTGGTTTGTTATTATTTGGTCTCTTAAAGGGCTGACCTAAAGGAGATTTTAGAAGAATTCCTAATTCTTGTGTAACCAGTATTAGATTTATTGCCCACTTTCACTGTTATTAGGGCAGGTAGGACCTCCTACACCTAGTGGGATAGGATGCTCATTTGTGGGGGTAGAAAGTGGTATGTCTAACCCTCCACCTGAAGCTCGTGGTTGGGGATGGTGGCATGTCCCACTTACTGAGCCCCCATGCTATTTAACCTATTTTATATAACCTATCAGTCATGTGTGGGGGCTAGTGGGGAGGTTTAGTGTGCCCCTAGTTAAACTTCAGGGCATCCAAAAAATGCTCATGTGTGCATCTGAAGGGGTGCACGGGATGCCCCTGCGTATATATTAGAGCCCCACCTGGTGCCAATAAATTGGGGATTGGGGACACAGACATGGCCCTATGTATGTAATAAAGCCCCCATCTGCTGCCCATATATATATACTTCCCAATTAAACCAGATGCCACATGGTAGCCCTTGTGATGCCTAGTCTTTTTAAGCTATTTGCCACTTTTCTTAAAGTTATCATTTGCTGGCAAAGAGAATGTGATTAATATAGCCCTCGCATATACCTCCCAGGTGTCCCAATGTATAGAATTATGTAATAATTACCATATACCCTCTATGTAACATATAACCCTCACACATACCTCTCTAATGTCCCAATTTATAGAATTATATAGTAATTACCATATATCCTTTATATAACCAATAACTCTCTCACACATCTCCCAAGTGAGGGTCCGTTGCTATTTGGGGAGGGTCCGTTGCTATTTGGGGGCCAAATCCCTATCTTTTCTCTCCTAATGCCCCTCTTTTCTAGGAACTCCATATTGTTGGTGTGTCTGAGTGTATAACAGAGCTCCACAGCAATAATACTCCCAGTAATGTGTCTGAGTGTATAACAGAGCTCCACAGCAATAATACTCCCAGTAATGTGTCTGAGTGTATAACAGAGCTCACAGCAATAATACTCCCAGTAATGTGTCTGAGTGTATAACAGAGCTCCACAGCAATAATACTCCCAGTAATGTGCCTGAGTGTATAACAGAGCTCCACAGCAATAATACTCCCAGTAATGTGTCTGAGTGCATAACAGAGCTCCACAGCAATAATACTCCCAGTAATATGTCTGAGTGTATAACAGAGCTCCACAGCAATAATACTCCCAGTAATGTGTCTGTGTGTATAACAGAGCTCCACAGCAATAATACCCCCAGTAATGTGTCTGAGTGTGCAACAGAGCTCCACAGCAATAATACTCCCAGTAATGTGTCTGAGTGTATAACAGAGCTCCACAGCAATAATAATCCCAGTAATGTGTCTGAGTGTATAACAGAGCTCCACAGCAATAATACTCCCAGTAATGTGTCTGAGTGTATAACAGAGCTCCACAGGAATAATACTCCCAGTAATGTTTCTGAGTGTATAACAGAGCTCCACAGCAATAATACTCCCAGTAATGTGTCTAGTGTATAACAGAGCTCCACAGCAATAATACTCCCAGTAATGTGTCTGAGTGTATAACAGAGCTCCACAGCAATAATACTCCCAGTAATGTGTCTGACTGTATAACAGAGCTCCACAGCAATAATACTCCCAGTAATGTGTCTGAGTGTATAACAGAGCTCCACAACAATAATACTCCCAGTAATGTGTCTGAGTGTATAACAGAGCTCCACAACAATAATACTCCCAGTAATGTGTCTGAGTGTATAACAGAGCTCCACAGCAATAATACTCCCAGTAATGTGTCTGAGTGTATAACAGAGCCCCGCAGCAATAATACTCCCAGTAATGTGTCGGAGTGTATAGCAGAGCTCCACAGCAATAATACTCCCAGTAATGTGTCTGAGTGTATAACAGAGCTCCACAGCAATAATACTCCCAGTAATGTGTCTGAGTGTATAACAGAGCTCCACAGTAATAATACTCCCAGTAATGTGTCTGAGTGTATAACAGAGCTCCACAGTAATAATACTCCCAGTAATGGGTCATTAAACTACAATAAATGTGTTCAGAAATCAGTCTGTAAATAAGATACATTGTTCTTGTTCTAAATCACATTTTAGTTAAATAAATTTTTGTTAGTAAATCAGAACAGCCCTGCCCCTTGCCACACCCCACTCACACCCCTTAAATTAAAGTGTACCTCTTTTATCATGTGAGATGTTGGGAGGTGTGTCATGGTCTATGAAGTAAGGATGAAGTTTCGTGTTATGTATTGTCTGCATTGTACAATATGTATCATTCCCACATGTACTATACGTACCTGGATCAGATACAGACTCTTGGTTAGAGCTCCCAGCTCCAGTGATCTGGGCTATTTCTGCATGTGTGGGCCTCTGGGAGAATGAGAAAGTCCTGCAGGATAGTGTGAGCTGAACGTAGAGTCAAAATGAAAGTGAAAGTAGAAACTATAGAGAAATGATCAGGAACCAGCCATGTTCTGAACACCCCCCTCCCTGCACTTCCAGTAAACGGCTGCAAGTTCTATAAACACATCAAGGGTAGTTTAAGGGCTTCCGTTTCCTGGGGGACAATGGGTTAATTATAGTTACAGTTCAAAGTGCCAGCACGGCCGGAGCTGAATTCACTTTTGGTTTTATTATTAACCCCTTCAGGACGAGTTATTGCACTTTGCAGTGAGGACATCATCGTACTCCGGTGTGCAATGTATAGACAGCATAAACCATCACTGGTCGTTAAGGGTTAAAGTAAATATATTGCTAAGAATTAAACCAAAAAGAAAGATTAGCAAGAGATCCAACAACACTCCTATTGGGGGTTAACCCTGAAACTTAGAACCTAGAAAACAGACAAAGGCTGGCGTGTCTGCCAGAGGTAAGTGGGATTACCACACTTACCTATTAAAAGGTAACTTTAATTATTTCATTGATTAAAAAAAGACCACAAAGACCCCAAGTAACACAATTTACAAAAGAGACAAACAAAATCTCAATATAGTGAAATATCGCCTAAATGGAGACTTCCTAATGATGCATTAGTAGTATACAACCGTTATGGAACTGCCTCCTACGCGTACATTTACTAAATACAAATTGCAAGAAAAAGAATTTCACCAATGTTAGCGTGTAGCCAAATGCTACTATCTGGAGAGATCACATGAGTTGCTATCGCTAAACACGGAGCAGTAGAAAATGTCAAAAAAGGGCAGAATAGTACATTCCTGCAATTGTGGACTTGCAGCTAACATGTCTGGGTAATGCAAATAATATTACCGACTCCTACCGAAAAGGACGCAATGAAACTACTGTCGTATACTACCAATATACCATTAGGAGCTTTTATTAATATTCCACTATATCGCAATTCTAGATTAATTCTTGTCTTTTGTAATTTGTGCTACTTGGGATCCTTGTGATCGTTTATCAATGAAATAATAAAACGTAAATTTTAATCTGTAATTGGTGTATTCCCACTTACCTATTGCTATGAATGGTACTAGTTAATAATACTTAGTGGATACTTTATAATTGTAGATTATGCTGGCTTTAGTGTACCTATAATCTTAATTTTATTAATGACAGGAGGCGAATATTAGCTTAAGTCTCTCTTTACTAGAACTCCACAGCAGCAAAACACCAGAGAGTAAACAACCAATCAGAAAACAGTAAGGAGACCCAATATAAGTCCCTTCCCAACATTCCATTTCCTTGTTCAAGCTGCGACAACAAAGCACAGTCGAGGAAAAGTAACATAATATAACAATAAAAAGTCCATCTCTTGATAGAAACGACGACTCTCCTAGGAATCTTCAACCGAGTCGAAACTTGGATGTGAGTCCATCCTGGGACCTTTACACTGAAACGAAATAAACAGAATCGAAAATCATGATTAGTCAATGAAAGGTATGTATAAAAACATGCAGCCACCCAGAGCAAAATTATAGTGAACACCGCCAAGTGAACAGATCCCGGCCCAGGCAGAAAAATAGAAACGTATAAAGGAAATAACCACAACGAACACTGATCAGAAATATAATTCTTTAATATTAAGTCTGACAGATAATACAACACACAAGGGTCGGGAAAAACAAAGGGTGGGAAATATTCGCCTCCTGTCATTAATAAAATTAAGATTATAGGTACACTAAAGCTAGCATAATCTACAATTTTATAACATGACAGGAGGCTTCATATTTGCAGTTTCAACGCTCAGCCAGTAGGGCAAAGGCTGCATGTTCTGTAGGCCTGAAATGTGTCTTCTCGAGACCAATCCGCTGAACGTAGAATATCGGCCAGGGAAGCACCTGCTACCAGGGCTCCTGATGCCGCCGCACCCCTTACCGAATAAGCGCCAAAAGAGGAATCCACGCCAGCCAACGACAAGAGCCATCTGATCCAACGAGCCAGGGAAATGGTAGACACCGGTTTATGCGGTCGTACGTAAGATATCAACAGTTGTCTTGATAGGGAACTTCGAAGTGGGGTAGTAACAGCCACATAACGAGACAGAGCAGAAACCACACAGAGCTTCGGAGCCTCTCGAAAAAAGGGGTAGAAAATGGCAGAGGAGTCGGATTTGGTACGTCTCGACACCGCAAAGGTCACTCCATCCGGAGAAAAGGTGAATGCGTTAACATCAAAAGCCCGAACGTCGGAGACCCGACGAAATGATACCAGACACAAGAGAAGCGTGAACTTGGCCGATAACTGTCATAGAGAAAGGTCCTGATTCTCCGGCCACGCCTGAATGAAGTCCAAAACTCGGTGCACATCCCAGAGCAATGTATACTTAGGAGTCGGTGGACCTGACAGTCTGATTCCTCGCAACAGTCTACAAACCAAAGGATCTTGACCAATGGGCGTCCCCTGAAGAGGAACATGAGCCGATCTGGCAACGTTAACCGAGCGGTATGACCTCCCTTGGTCCCTTGGTCGAAGAGGTAGGAAAGGAAATTCAGTACACTGGATACAGGTGCCGTAAAGGGATCGATACTCCGTTCCATGCACTAATGACACCATGTGTTCCATGCGGACAGATAACATCTCCTCGTTCCCGGGGCCCATGAGTCCCAGAGGAGGCTTCTAGCCATTCCCGATAACTCATCGACATTCCAGGTACCCCTGAAAGAGTCCAAGCCACCAAGTGAAGACGGCCCTCCAGCACGAGGGGATGATGGTTGCCTCGAGAATCCGACAGGAGAAATTGCGGAGACGGGAGAAGGAGCAGGTCTCGATATGACAGCTCTAGCAGTTCTGGGAACCAAGAACTTGCTAAAGAGGCGTCAGTAACACCAGCGATGTCCGTTGACGTCGTACTTGGAGAAGGATTCTGGAGATCATAGTGAACGGTGGAAATGCATAGGCTCCCTGTGCCGGCCAGTCCTGAAGAAAAGCATCCACTGCCGCGCACATCGGATCCGGGAGCCAGCTGAAGTAATTCAAGATCTGGAAGTTCGTCCTGGAAGCGAACAGATCCACTGTGAACGGGCCCCTCCGTCGTGCCACTTCGAGAAATACTGGTCGATGAAGACGCCAATCGCTGGCATCCCTCCAGTGCCTGGAAAACCAGTCTGCCGTCAGGTTCGATACACCTGGAAGATATTCCGCTTGTAGAGTGATATTGCGCTGAAGGCAGAAATTGTAAATCTCCTTCGTCACTTCCATCAGTGCCTGTGAGCGTGCTCCTCCCAGGCGGTTGATATACTGTACTGCTGTCCATTCTCAGCAGGATGCAGCAATCCGACAGATGACCCACCAGGCTCCGTATCGTGAATGAGCCCGCAATCATTTCCAGACAGTTGATATGGTAACCTGTTTCCGTGCTCGACCAGGGACCTCCCGTGGAGGCAGTCGCGCAGGTCACTCCCCAGCCCATAGGCTTGCATCTGATTCCAGGACAAAGTCCGGGGTCAGCCGGAAAATCGCCTTGTTGTTCCAGGCTGACATATGTAACAGCCACCAACGAAGTTCTGTCTTGACTTCCTGTGTGATAGTGATCAGCTGGTCATATGAGGGTTTCCTGCGGAGGAAACGCGCCTTCAGGCCCCAAGTTAACGGAACTTCCCCAAATCCGGAAATCTCCCACGACTGTACACTTACGACTTAGTATAAACAACAGATAACCTATTCAGACTTTAAGATGCCATCTTGAACTAAGTCAGGAAAAATTCCATGACGTATACACCCTTTAGTTATGGCCTTGTATGTTTGCCAAATTAAGGGAGGTCCTAGAATGAATAAAGTAAATGAACTACGGTAACACTAAAATGAAGACACCTAAGGTATAAATAGGTGTACTTTTAAATGTTAAGAAACAGAGGAGATACTTGGAGACAGACGCTGCTCCATCTTAAAATGACAGAGAGGCTGACATGATGACATGTTCAGAAGGGTATGTTAACCTATTAATGATATTTGCAAGCATGTAATTTAATCTTATAAACTCTGCTATAATGGATTTTATATTTATATTTTTATATAATAAATATCCAAAAAGACAAAACTATTGCTTCCAAGACAATCCTTATTTTATATTGTATTCTCAATTATTTATATATGTTAAATAGAGGATCTCTTACACTATATAAAATTATGGCTAAGATATCTGTATAGTTAGCCCTACTAAGTTCTATGCTTTAAGACATTATAGTGGTAAATAAGGGAACCAGCCACGGTTAAATGATGGCCAGAAACGGCTGGAGGCACGACCCCTCTGCCCTCCAGCCCTGCCAAAAACACGAGAGGTGTTAGTGCGGACACCCTCCTCATCGAAGATTGGGATTTATTCAGGGTGGCATAGAGGTTGACGTACCTTTGGAGCTCCTTGATGAAGGGTTCCCCAAAAAGTAGCCCTTTGGCTAACGGTCCCAGTTCCTTGGAACCCAACTCCGATAATTTGGCATCCATGCGCATAAGGACCGCCCTCCTCCGCTCCGTGCAGAAAGCTACGTTAGAGTTGCCCAGCAGGCAAACGGAGCGTAGCGCCCAATCTCTTATGGCTGCAGCGTCCAGGGGGGAGCCCTGGGAAACAGCCTCGTCCACCAAGGTAAGGATCCGTGTCAGCGGTCCTAAGATGTCAAGCACCTTATCTTGTGCCAGGCGGAGATTGCGCTCGATCCCCTTCTTGGGATCGCGCCCGGTACGGGTCAAATAGGTGGAGACCATCGTGTCGAACTCGGGCGTCAGAGCGACCTTATCCGGCAATGTGGGTCTAGGGCACTCAGCCCTGAGCCTCTTCCGCACTGCCCAGTCGAGGGGTCTGCAAACCCAATAATGCACGAACTGGGCCAGGTGGTCAGGTACTCAGGAGACCTGGGGTGCCGGATGGTGCGTTGGTCAAATAAAGGCTCGCCTGATGAGTCCAGGAAGACGTCCTCCCCCAGGGAGGGGTGTAGATGTAGCGAGGTATC